CGGGCGGGCCGGGGTCCCGGCGCTGCTCCCCGGCGCCCCGGGCGCTTCCTCGGGAAGGTGGCTTCCTGGGCAGTAGTCCGACTTTCTCCTCCATCCTCCATCCTTTGGTTTTATATCGTGATGCAACAGATCCGGGCTTAGAACCGAAGGCAGACTTGCTACACCTACCACATATTGAGCCATAATTTTTGGTTTATGACGGAACCGCACAAACGCACCTTCTATCCGTGTAGACTGCCTCTTTTGTAAGTTAGTTAGCGGTTTGGCCCCTTCCCCTTCCAATGCGCTTATTTCGCATTGATTGTGCCAGTAGCCAGACTCCACATCTTTCCAAGACGTGTTAGGTTTTCTTTCCTTCTCTCTCTCCTTTTTTTTTTTTAAAGAGAGATATAATTGATATAAAACATTGTGTTCGTTTTCGTTTAAGATGTCTTTGGAAGCAGTAGATTCCCACCTAGTGGGCTTTTAACTACGCACGTCAGTATTCTATTCTCAATAAACGTTTCTGTTTGCGGAAGTTTATTTAGTAAATGGAGTGCCTTCACCTATATGAATTATTTCACTTAATTTCACATAAAACAGCCACCCAGTCAGGTCGATGGTTAGTCTACTTTCCAGATGAGGAAATGCATTAAGTGCAGAATGTAAGCGTTAAACCAGAAGTGAACGATGGCAGTCTTCCAACGCCCTTGCCTCCTGTTCTTGTTCTTCATTCCCTCCTAAAGGCACCTCCAGAGTCTTCTGCAAAGCAAGTCGGTCACTTTGCTTCCCTGCTCTAAAAACCTTCATTGATCTTTATCGGAAAAAAAGTCCGAAATCCTCAACAGGAGAGCTAAGGCTCAAACTTCCTCTCTAGTCCCACCTTCGCCAAGCCTCAAGTGTGGGTGGGTTTGTAGGACCCCTGGAGCAAGAGCTCTTGGCTGATAACCAGGGATCAGAGATTTTTATTCCTGGGAACCTCCCAGGCCACACCACTGGTAAATTAGAAGTGAGAATCTAACCTGCCACCCTTGGCCAAATGGGCACGTGTGGGTTAGACTACAAGATGTCAGCAGGAAGCATCTGGAGTACCTGGGCTCCTTCCAGACCATGTAAATTTCTGACCCGGTGATACTTGATTCATCCTCTATAATTTAAGTCTTATTTTCTATTTGAAACTGGGTTTCTGTTAAATAGGCTTAACCCTTTCAGTGACATAATTACATGTTTATAATATTTAAAGGATTTGATGTAAGTTTTTTTGATCCCCTCGAGGGAAGTTTTTGTCACTTCTTTGCTCAAAAATGGTCAGTGCCTCCCCATTTTCAGTGGTTCCCATCTTACTCATTTTAAAAGACAAGGCCTTATAAAAGCTGGTCCTATGATGTCCTGCCTGCTGCATGGTCTGCCCTCCTTGATGCTCCTCCAGGCCTCCTAGCCTGCTCTACCTTAGAGCCTTTACCGTTCCATCTTCCTGGAACACTCTTCCCCTAGATACCACATGACTATCTCACTTCCTTTGGACTTTACTTAAACGCCAACTTCTCAATGAGACTTGTCCCAGCTATGGTTTCAATTCTCTTAAACGTTTTTATACTTAATTCTAAATCTTTCCAGGGTTCAAAGATGTTCATCCAAAAAGGAATACAATTACCATGCTAGTTAGCTCTAGTTCTTTATGACTCAGGGATTTTTGCTAAGGAAGCTAACGAGATGGTTTTGGTGACCCTGATGGGACATACTAAATTCTAGTTTAATGACTATATATCTTAAAAGAGATGGCATTGGAGCCCACAGTCTTTTTTTAAATTTATTTTTTATTTTTAGAGAGGGTAGGGAGGGGCAGAGGGAGAGAGAAAAAGAATCCCAAGCAGGCTCCACGCCTGGCATGGAGCCTACCCAGGCTCGATCTCACAACTCTGAGATCATGACCTGAGCTGAAATCAAGAGTCAGACGCTTAACCTGCTGAGCCACCCAGGCGCCCCAACTTAAACCTTTCTTAATGACTTGAGTACTGTTGTGAACGCAGGTTATGTTAATGTCCTGTGGATGTAAATATTACCATGTTGTAAATGAACCCAACTTACAGGACAATTCCTGTTTTTTTGTAGAAGGCCCTGTTTCTGCTCCTTCCTACAGCTCTGCTGCTTGTCCTAGTTCAGCGCCTCACCATTTCTTTTATTTATTTATTTATTTATTTATTTATTTATTTATTTAATTTTTTTATTCTTATGTTAATCCCCATACATTACATCATTAGTTTTAGATGAAGTGTTCCATGATTCATTGTTTGTGCATAACACCCAGTGCTCCATGCAGAATGTGCCCTCCTCAATACCCACCACCAGGCTAACCCATCCTCCCACCCTCCTCCCCTCTAGAACCCTCAGTCTGTTTCTCAGAGTCCATCATCTCTCATGGTTCGTCTACCCCTCCAATTTCCCCCACTTCATTCTTCCCCTCCCGCTACCTTCTTCTTCTTCTTTTTTTTTTTCTTAACATATATTGCATTATTTGTTTCAGAGGTACAGATCTGTGATTCAACAGTCTCACACAATTCACAGCGCTCACCATAGCACATACCCTCCCCAGTGTCTATCACCCAGTCACCCCATCCCTCCCACCCCAACCCCCACTCCAGCAACCCTCAGTTTGTTTCCTGCAATTAAGAATTCCTCATATCAGAGCGCCTCACCATTTCTTGCTCTGACAATTACATTAAGCTTGAAATTGGTCTCTCTGGCCCTGCCTTTCCCACCCGTTTCTCTCCCTCCATGCTGTTTCAAGTTTTTGTCTGGGTATGCAGATTGGATCATCGTAACAATAATACCTAATATTTATTGAGCCCTAGTTGCATGCCAGGCATTGTGCACACGCTATGGTCAGAAGAAGAGTGCAAGACTCAGGGGTGCCAGTTTGGGGTCAGTCAGCCAGAATTCCAGTCTCTGTTCACTTGCTCCTGTGCAATTTTGGAAAATTTTTGAAAAATTTCCCTATGGGTCAGTTTCTTCATATGGTGTGGATCGCAGCAGCTCTTCCTTCGTGAGGCTGTTGTGAGGACCACAATGAGATGAGTATACAGTGTTGAGCATAGCACCAAGTGAACATTCAAATATTAGCTATTTTCATTGAGATATAACTCACGTGTCATAAAATTCATCCTTTTAAAGTAAATTCAGAGGGCGCCTGGGTGGCTCAGTCAGTTCAATGTCTGACTCTTGGTTTCGGGGTCATGATTTCAGGGTCATGGGATTGAGCCCTGCTTGGGGCTCTGTACTCAGCGTGGAGTCTGCTTGAGATTCTCTCCTTCTCCCTCCTCCTCTGCCTCTACCCCCCCTCCCCAGAGTCTTGCACACTTGCTTGCTCTCTCTCTCTCAAATAAATTAATAAATAAAATCTTAAAATAAAGTGTAGGGACGCCGGGGTGGCTCAGTTGGTTAAGCATCTGCCTTTGGCTCAGGTCATGACCCCAGGGTCCTGGGATCGAGTCCCTCGTCGGGCTCCTTGCTCGGCGGGGAGCCTGCTTCTCCCTCTGCCCGCTGCTCCCCCTGACTGTGCGCACTCTCTTTCTCTGACAAATAAATAAATAAAATCTTAAAAAAAGATTCTTCCATGTCTTTAAAAAAAAATAAAGTGTACAATTCACTGTTTTTTTAGTGTATTCGTAGAGTTGCACGACCATCACCACCCTCTAATTCGAGAACATTTTCACCATAGTATAAAGAAACCTCGTACCCATTAGCAGTCATTCCCCATTCCCCATTCTCCCTACACCCGTGACAACCACTAACCTACTCTGTCTCTATCATCTGCCCATGGTGGACATTTCATTTAAATACTATCATAAAATCTATGGTCTTCTGTAACTAGCTCCTTTCACATAGCTGGAGATTTTTAATGTTCACCCATGTTCTAGCAAGTATCAGTCCTTCGTTCCTGCTCATGGCTGAATAATGTTCAGTTGTATGGATGTGTCACATTTTGCTTACTATTCACCAGCTGATAGACATTTGAGTTGTTTCTATGTTTGGGCTATTGTGAATAATGCCTCTGTGAGCATCTGTGTACAAGTTTTTTTGGAGACGTGTTTCATTGATCTTGTGTATATACCTAGGAGTGGAATCACTGGATTATATAACTGTTTTTTAATAGCTTTATTGAAATACAATTCGTATACCATACAATTCACCTATTTAAAGTGTAAAATTCAGTGGTTTTTAGTCTATTCGTAGATACGCACAACTGTCAACCACAGTCAATTTTAGAGCATTTTCATCACCTCAAAAGGAAACACTTTAGCTATCAGGCCTCTCATCTCAGCCCCCTCCCTACAGCCCCTCCTCCCAGCCCCAGGCAACCAAGTATCTACTCTCTATTTCTATAGATCTTCCTATTCTGGACTTTCATATGAATTGAGTCATATAGTATGTGGTGTTTTGTGATTGGCTTCTTTCACTTAGTGGAATGTTTTCAGAGTTCATCCATGTTGTAGCATATGTACCAGGCCTTTAGTCCTTTTCAAGACTGAATAACATCCTATCATATGGATATTCCATTTTCCCGCTGATGGACATTTGGGTTGTTTCCATCTTTTAGCTATTACGAATAATGCTGCTACAAATGTTTGTATACAGATTTCTGTGGGGACGTATATTTTCATTTCTCTTGGATATATATACCTAGGCGTGGAATTGCAGGGTCCCCTGGTAACTATGTTTAATCATCTGCGGAACTGCCAGACTGTTTTCCAAAATGGTTGCATCATTTCACATTCCCACCAGCAGTGTATGAAGGTTCTGATTTGTCCAGATCCTGGCCAACACTTGTTGTGTGTTTGTGTGTGTGTGTGTGTTTATCCTAGCGATCCTAATGAATGTGAAGTGGTATCTTGCTGTGATTTTGATTTGCATTTCCCTAATGACCAATGATGTTAAACGTCTCTTTATGTGCTTATTGCTATTTGTCTTAATTTATTTCTTATTGCTATTAATCTTATTTATCTTAGCTATTATCTTATTTAATCCTCTTAACAGACTTCCTTAGAGCCTCTTAACAGTCAATATCCTCATTTTACAAAGAAGAAACTGATGCGCAGAATTAAGTAACTTGACTAAGTCACACAGTCACCAGTAGATCTATAATGATGTCACTTTTCTTAAAATCCTGCAAAAGTGCCCCAAACCCGCTTAGTGGAGGGGCTTCGGGATCTGGTGCCTACATACTTTTTTCTCCTTTTATCTTCCACTATCCCTCCACAGGCCCCAT